TTATCCATATCTTCGTTTATGTTTAGATTAAACAAACTAAAGCAGGTTAAAATCATTTTGAACAAAGAATAATAGTATTGCTGGATTTCACTTCATGACGCTCCATGATCAGCACTGGGTACTAAAATGTCTTCTTTTTAAAACTGAATTTAAAGAAAGACTAAAAAAACAGAAAATGGGTAGAAATAATACAGAATTTCAAAGAAAAACAGTAAGAAATCACTAGTTGATGATTACAGATTGTCTTCTTACAAATAGTTATTCAAGATACTAAATTGGAGCATATAAAGAGGGGATTCAAACAGTGAGATTGCAACCAGTACTGTTCAACTATCCAACAAAAACTTAGAAACATGGTTATCAATCCCCTACATTTAAACATATATGCAGTTACCCATATCCTCAATTTTGTTGACTTTCAATAAACCCAAGCAGGCTAATACCACTCAGTAAAAAGAATAACAGTATTGTTGGGTTTCACATTATGACACTCCAGGATCAGCACTGGGTATTTTAGTGTCTCCTTTTCTTCAAAGTTCATTTCATCAATTGTCATAAGATTAGTTCTCATAAACTGTTTATAGATTCTACACATGCATGGGTCTTAACATGTATTTTTTTTTAAATTTTCAAAATAGCAAATATGCAACAGCGCAAGACAGAACAAAGCCAATCGAGACAATGCAGTGAAATTGGTACAGGATTTCACAGTAGGATACTGGGATAGTAGTACTAAGTACTATGGTATATCTCTTTAATTTAACAATAGCTGTCCAGTCAATTACGTATTGAAAAATCAAACCAAAAATAGAACATTGTAAAACCAATTGAGAATACTGAATAGAGCAAAAGAAATATAACAAAAAGTGAAAACAACCTATGCCTTCAAACAGAAGATAGAAGGAAATCCCCCATATTTGCTATACTGCATATGGTCATCCTCCCAAGAGATGTTGAAATATCCATCCCCAGTAGGTAAGCGGGGAGGGGGCAGGTGGGAGAAAGGGTGTTTGATTTTCAGCTCGCGTGGAAGTTGGCACACAGGTAATGGTTGTTCTCCAGGCCCAAGCTGCAGGTGCTTATCAAGAGGGCAGGTGAATAAGCTAACTGAGTTCCTCCATGGCCCAAAGTCTGGAGCTCTGTTCTCCTCCTGCCCGCATTGCAGACGCTTACCAAGAGGGCAGGTGAATAAGCTGCCTGAATCCCTCCATGACCAGAGCTCTGGAGCTCTGTTCTCCTCCCGACCCGCATTGCAAATGCTTTCTGCTGGATGAATTATTCCAGTTTTGGTCATCGGGTTGGTGGGGCTTTGTCTCTGTGACATTACTCAATCAATTTAGTTATTTGTTTGTTCCTTTGTTTCTATTTCCAAGCACTTCCTTCCTTTCTGGCACTATAAGACGGAGCAGGTTCATCTTACATTTTTCGTATTCCAGTCTTAGAATAAGCTTTTCTCTTCTTAGAAGACCTTAGAAGTCTTAGAATAAGCTTTTCTTAGAAGACCAGTTCATGCTAGCTTTTGGAAACTGATTTGATGCTAGATGCAAGCCTGGATTTTATTTAACTCCTTATTTGAAAATAATTTGAAAAGTTACAACACAGCACAAAGAACATCCACTTATTCTTTATCCAGATTCATCTCTTGTTAGTACATTGTGCCATATGTTATAGCATGTGTTCTCTTTTTCTTTATATAATTTTTATAAGTCATTTGAGATACCATGTCACTTTGCCTTTAAATACTCCAGTGTGCATTTGGTTAAAAAAAATGAGGACACTCTTACATAACCACAGTTGCTGATTCCTCTCAGTTTTGCAGATTCCATTCTTTATTTTCCAATCTATCATCCATTTTCTAATTTGATGAAATCAAACACCTTTTATGTTTTTTCTTCCAGTACAGAATCCAGCCTAAGTGTCCATATTGCACTTAATTGTCACATCCACTTAGTCTCCTCTAAGTTGGAATAGCTTCTCTTTCTTGTGACGCTCACATTTTGTGAAGAATCATAAAGACTCTTTCCCATAAAACATTCCTCTTTTGGAGCTCTGGGCTTGCCCAGAGTTAACCAAACTTTGAATACAGAGTCCTCAAGGCTGCCCTTATGTCTAATAGCAACTGCAAAGAAAGAAGTTCTGCTAAATTTGTGAGAAGGACTCACCGAACTTGCTGAAAGCCACTGTACACAGTTACGGTTTATTACAGGGAAAGGTACAGGTTGAAATCAGCAAAAAGAATAGATGGGAGGTTCCAAACGTGAGGTTTCTGTGGCCCTCTGCCCTTGGAGTTAGCTTGCATTTGTCTTCCACAATGTCTGAATGGCAATACACACAGGTTTTTGGTCAGGGAAGTTTACCAAGCCTCAGGGTTTTGTTTGTTTGGAACTCCAGCATGTAGGCCGCGTTCATTGACTGATTGATTGCCCCCTGTTTGAACTCAGCCTGAAGCTTAGCAGATATCATGGGATCCAAAGTTCAGACTGGCTCACATGCTTGGTCTTTCCCCTTGAGACTGCCAGGTGTGGCAGGCTCCCACCCTAAACAAAGACACCAGATATGACACAGATAATTTCCAGAAGCTGAAGTCACAAAGCCAAGGTATTTTTATCATGCACTAATGTTTTCTCATTGATAAATTTGGTGCACTTCTAATGGTGATACCACTGAAGCAATATTGTATCTTTCTCAAACTGTCATATCTAAAGATGATGTCATATACATCTATCTGTCTCTCACTAGTGATACTAATCATAAATGCCCAGGCAAGGTATTGGTCAAACTCTTCATTGTCTAGAAACTACACTTCCCCTTTTTCTAACAAACCACTTATTAGAAGAAAGAATTAACATCAAATTTCCTACTTCTAATCAAACTTCTCTGGATTTGCCATCTACTGATATACTCTGCCTAAATAAAACTTTACTGTGATAGTTACAAAATCTTGATGCTCTATCTCCAATGCTTTTATCCAAATTTTTCAGTCAGCAGTTTACAATTCACGGGCTGCATTAGTCAGCTTTTTGTCCCTGTAAACCAGTATCTGAGGAAAACAACTTAGAGGAAGAAAGGTGTATCTCTGGTTGACAGTTTCAGAGGTTTCAGTGCATAGTCAGTTGGTCCCAATTGTGGAACAGTACAGTGAGGAGAGCTGCTCACCTTACGGCAGCCAAGAAGCAGAGACCAAAGGGAGAACCAGAAAGAGAGAAATGGGTCAAGTCAAGAATACACCCTTCTAGGTTATGCACTCCCAGAAATGTACTCTCTCCAAAAAGATTGCACCTCTTAGCGGCACATACAGCTAATGAACTCATCAGAGGATTTACCAGTTGATGAAGTTAATACCTTCACAAGCCAATCAGCTCTCTAGTCCCCTCTCTGAACTTTGAAGCACTGAGGATTGAGCCTTCAATACAAAGGACTGTGGGAGGCACTTCATGTTTAAACTATAACTTTTACCCAACAGGAAGAAAGATTGCAATACTAGGAAGCATCCCCAAGGATGCAAGCTTCCCTTACGCCTCTAAGAAATGCGATGATAAGCCAGTCTTTCCCACAAATGCGAAAATGAGAATGTCTCACCTTAGTGGATGACGGGGCATGCACCTGGAAGAGAAGAAAGAGTGTTTCCAGTGGCCTGAAATGTAGAAGAGTCCAGCTCACTCAGGAAAGGGCAAGAGCAGAGGCTGGAAGGAAGAAGTCTTCTTTGAATTTCCTTTGCTTCTTTCTTTCCTTCTTTCTTGCTTGCTTGCTTTTCTATTAGCTCTCAGTCCTCCGTACCTCACTTTGTTGTTCAGAGATGTAGCAGCAGCAGCACCTGAAAACTTGTTTTACAGGCAGCATCTCAGATCCCATCTTATATGCAGGGAACCACAACCTGCACTTTCTCAGCATTTCTAGATGGATTGTAAGCACATTCACTTTTAGAAAACACTGACCTTCAGGGTGCCCTTTATTCCATCCAGTCCCTGATTCTTTCAACCCCATTTCAGATCGCATATATCAAACAGTGGTCACCACTGCTTCAAAGTTCACATTCTTTCTCCACACTGCATTCATGGGCTGGTCCCTGACCTGCCCCCACATACACACTCTAACACTTTAAATGCTTAATTCTTATTCAGTGATCTGGACTCAGCTAGACTCCTCTAGTCCTTGCTGGTTCCATCAACCATGTTAGAGGCCCCTGCGATGTGCTTCTGAGGCATCTCAACATACACAGGTCCATCATTCATCTACTGTACCATAACTGACCATTTTCTTCTCTTTCTTTTCACATAAGATTGCAAGCAATTCAAGGGCAGGATCTATATCTCATTTATACTGTATTTCCAGCTTTGAATAAAGGTGCCTAAGCCCTAATGGGTGATAGTAAAATTTGTTTGAATACATATACCCTTGATTATAATAATTAATGTTTATTAGTGGTGATATGGTGATATTGTTCTACACATGCATACACACACATGTATGATAATTATGTAGATATAATTATTATGACCATTTTGCAAATGAGAACACTGAGCCACAGAGAAGGCTAGTGGGTGCACCAAGATTACACAGCCAGTAAGTGCTGCAGCTGGAGTTTGACTCCAAGCAGTCTGACTCCAGAATCTATAAGCTTCATACACTGGATCTCCTGACACAAAATATAGTGAGGAAAAAGCCCTAGTTCTCCATTCAGTTACCACAGTGGATGAAAAACCTTGCAGCCTGACCCATAAACCCAAAGAGCTCATAACCTTAAAGCCTCATCACCCATTACTGCTGGCACAGTACCTGAAATACGCAGTCTTTGTCAGTGCTGATTTTGCAAAAAAGAAAAACCAATCTTAGGCAAAAACAGAAAAATAAAGAACATTCAAGTGGGCTTTTCAGTTTACAAAAAAAATCATAATCTTTAGGGCACATATAGGCCTGGCAACCAGGCACACATCAATGGTTAAAATATTCAAGAAAGTTTATAATAAATAAAAGAACACATTTGCAAAAATTGCCAAATAATGGCCCTGAATCAAGGCCAGCAGTTTTCTGAAGTCATTGGTTTCAAGCAGAAGCCTAAAGTGGTATCTTTCTGTGGTCTCTTGGCCATTTCAGAACTTTAGAAATGTAGTGATCAATTCATTAGAAAGAAACGATTCACCTCCTATTCCATGAGCCCACACCCACAGGCCTGAGGGAGAGGAAGCCGTTTCCCCAGAATTTCACTGCCATCAGGGGAACATCCATGAGCAGCCACTCTGTACCATTCCACCGCCCTGGGAACCTCAGCTCTGAGGAACCCAGATGCCTAACCCAACCCCCTGCACTGAGGGGTAGGGCAGCCAACACAGGAAACACCCAAGACTCAGCAACTGGATGATTTGGAGGAACACAGAAAAATGTCAGAATGAAGGAGCAGGGGCAATCTCGGACCTCCAGCCCACCCAGAACAAGTCCAGAAGACACAGACACAAAAGAATTAGAAGTCACACACCTGAAATTTCTGAAATGATAGCAACGGAGGTAAGGAAACAACTTAGTGTTTATATTGTTTGATTAATTTTGCATGTCTATATCTCACCCAGAACAAGTTCAAGAGATACAGACATAGAGGAAATTTAGCCACAGCTGAAATTTCTGAGATGATGGAAACTAAAGTAAAGAAACAACTTAGTGCTTAGGCTGTTTGATTGACTTTGCATGCCTTTGGTGATCTGGGCATCTATTCAGAGGATAGTAACTTGTATTACAGTAACTATGGTTGATATCCGATTGCCTTATTTTGAAATCCAATATCATTCTTGTTGTTTTGTTTTGTTTTGTTTCATTTTGTTTTATTCTCTTTAAAATAAAAAAATTACTAAATAAATTCATTCATTCCTACATACATATATTAGTTTCTACTGCTATCAACCAGGAATTGTGCAGGTACCAGTCACCCTGAAATGAGAGAAACAGACATAGCTCTGTCTTCAGAGGACTTACAGTCCTTATACTAAACCTGGGTGATAACCAAAGAGAACAATATCTCCTTGCAAGAACAAGTATTTCAGGATAATTCAAGGGCAGGTGACCAGCAGTAAGCCTAGTCCTTACTGACAGTATAAACTGAATCCATTTTCCCCTTTGTAGATGATAAAAATACTTTTTTCACAAGCTTGTGAGTCACACTTCTTCATTTAATAAATATTACTGATGTTTGCTGTGTTCAGGACTGGGAAGTAAACAATAAATTACAGTCTCTGGATTTTGGAAGTTCATTTCAGGGATACAGACATTAATTTACTGAGAAATTTCTTGTTTGATCCCCAGAAACTATTTGGCACATAGTAGATCTACATAATGAATATTTGTTTTTATTTTTAATCTTTTTTTATTTTGAAGAGAATAAAACCAAATGAGATCAAAAAATGGAGTCAGTCAAGACAAAAGGATGGACATAGTACATGACTTAAAAACAAAATATGAGGTGCTTAACAATGGTTACCATAATGCCTCTTGTTATCTTCAAAAGAATTGCCCATATCATCAGACATAATAAAATTAAACAAAACAGTACAGAACAAAACCAAGAAAAACAAAGTATTGGAGACATTATAGGACTTCAAAAGAAGATAATAGTCAAACCAGAATGGGTATCATAGTGAATCTTATTGTCTTCAAAGTAGATGCCTATACCCTCAACTTGATACTATCAGACAAAACAGAATAGAATAAAATCAGTGAAAGTAATACAGGGCTTCAAATCAAGTTAATAGGAAATCAAAAATGGTCACCATAGTATATCCAGCTATTTTAGGAATAGCTGTCCATGTCATCAAATCTAGTACAAATAGGAAAACTGGAACAGAATAAAACCAGTCTAAACAGAGCAATGAAAACAATGTGGGCTTCAAATCATGATGCATGATTAACAATGTCCTCTGTCTTCCCTTTTTAGACAATTCCTCCATTTCACTTTCCCAGGATGCATTGTACATTTTGTATACCACTAACTCCTTTAGTTTTTAAATTAGGGAGGCAACCCACTATTCACCTAAGTGATTCTAAAGCTTTTTACCCCGAGCATGATCCCAACTCATACCCATTTACCTACAAAAGCCTCAAGGTTTTCTTTCATTATAGCTGAGTAGCTTTCCATTGTATAAAAGTGTCATGGATTTCTAGCCAATGTGCAGCTGATAGACAAGCCATGCCCACTTTTTTCTGGTTCCCTGTCACACAGAGCATTGTTTTCTCATCTTTGACTTTCAGTCTATAAACCTTGTTTCAGGTTAATTATATTTCTTATATAGAGCATATTGACGGACCCTATCTCCTGACCCACTCTGCTTGTTTCTTTCCATTGGTGAATTGAGGCCATCAATGTTAGTGATTATGGCCAACCTCCTCTGCCTCATCTCTGTCATGCTATTTTTCTGCCATTGGTTGTCTACTTTTCCCCTTCATTCCACTGTCTGCCCTGTTCAGTGAGCCCCTTCTACCACTGTTCCTGAAACCATAGTCTTTTTTTCTCTCTCTCTAGAATGTCCTTCAGTATTTTTTGTAGTGCTGGATTGGCAGTCATGAACTCCCCCAGTTCCTCTTTGTCGTGGAAACATCTTGTTTCTGTTAATTTTGACAGGTAGTTTTGCAAGGTACATCAATCTGGGTTGGTTATTTTCTTTCAGGATTTGGAATACTTCACTCCATGCTTTTCTTGATTTGATTGATGGTTTGTGTCAAGAATTTTGTTGTGATTCTGGGGACTGGGCATTTAGCTCAGCGGCATAAGCACCTGCCTTGCAAGCAGGCAGTCGTGAGTTCGATCCCTGGTACCGATAAAAACGAAAAAGACAAAAAAAAAAAAAAAAAAAAAAAAAAGAAGAATTTTGTTGTGATTCTGATAGGTTTTCCTTTATAGGTGATCTCTTTCTTTTCTCTGATAGCTTTTTTTCTGTTCTAGTGTTGACTTTCTGGGATCTTGATTATTACATGTCTGGGTATAGATCTATTTTGCTTGTAGCTGGCTGGATTTCTATATGCCTCATATATCTGAATATCATTCCCTTTTCCTATGCCTGGGAAGTTTTCTTTAATTATTTCTGTAAATAGTCTTTGCATTTCATTTGTGTTTACCCCTGCTTCTTAACTCACATTTTTTAATTCTTAAGTTATAGATCCTCTTGTCATCTTCTAGCCCTTGTATTGTTACTTCCTGGTTTCTTGTTATTTTTAAGAGATCTTTCCTTTCACAATCGCAAGACGCAAACCTGTATTCAAGATCTGATCATCCATCTTTAGTTTCTTTCAAGCAGTTTTGCCAGCTTTCAATGGAGTTTTTAATTTCCTGGTAATCTCTTTGAATACTTCATATATTCTAAGTTTTTTTAATATTCTTCATCAAAGGTTTCCTTCCTTTTTCTATGCTCCTCTATTCTTCCATCTGTGTCTTCTTTAGAGGTGCTCAGCAATTCTTTTATTATGTTTCTTGTATCTTCTCTTACCAGTAATAGAATTTCTGTTCTAAGTTCTTTTATAGCTTCATGAAGTTGTTTCTTTATTTTAATTGCTATTACTTCAGAAACTGCAGGTGTGAGACTCCCAATCTCTTCTGTGTTTACATCTCCTGAACCAGTACTGCTTGGGTTGGAGGCCAGAGACTAACTTTTGCTTCTTCTGCTTGTCATGTTCCTGGCTTCTTCCCGACAAGTGGGTAGTGAGTTCCCCGGAACTTCCTGTATTGGTTACAATTACTCTGAAGCATGTTGGTTAGGGATTCCTGCTGTTTGCTGCTTTTCCCAGTCTGCTGGTGACTACTGGAGTGTAAACAGGAGTGAGGCAGGCTGGCCCCTCCCTTCCAAACTGATTAACTACAGGAAGTCTTCACCATGTTAGTATGTGCTAAGCAGGTGGGGTTGGTTAGGGATAGCTTTAGGGAAACCTTGGTGGTGGCTATTGGACCACATACAGGGGTGGGACTCAGTCCAAGCAACTTCCACCAATCTGCTCTGTGCTAGGAGTGGCTGAGTGAAGCCAGCTGCAGTTCTGGTTCTCGGCTTATCCTGCCCATCTCCAAAATGGTGCCCAGCCAATTGCTCACTCCTGCAGGAGGATTGAATCCCTCACACTCACTGCCAGCCAGTGCAATTCTCTGGTCTGCTGCTCCCTTCCACCACCATGTCTCCCTGCCCAGGCCTTCAGGCTTGCCTGCCACCAGCTTCACTGTGCCCATGCATCTTGGGATCCTAACAGTACTTCCCTCACAGTGGGACCAGCTCCAGTGAAAGCACCATCAGCTGTCAACTTCTGTTTACATTTTTCTTTCTTTGTTTTTTTATTCTCTCTGTAGGCTTCAATTCTCTCTTTAAGTTCTTCCTGGTTCAAGGAGACTCACTTCTGTCTTCTCCAGAATGCTATCTTCCAGCACCTGGAATGTTTCTCTCAGAGAGATTGTTTACTGTGCTGCTTACTGTTCTGTCATCTTCCCAGACTTCTACATGAATATTTGTAATAGGAAAATATTTTTTAAAATATCACAAATCTGTGTGTTAAGTATAGGACAGATAAGAATAAATATTCAACATTCACCCATTTAAAATGACCTATTGAGCAGCTACTCTGTGCCATCATTACATTAGGCTCCATTGAATTTTTGCCCTGATGGAGTTTCATTCTATTGGAGAAAAGCAGATAACAAGAAAGTAGGTAAATTAATATGTGAATTAGTCTCAAGTGGTATTAGGTACAATGAAGAAAAATACAGCAAAATAAGAAATCAGAGAATGCTTAGGGTGGGAACTGTTGAATCATGTTAAGCTTGCACTGAGGAAACAAGCAATTCCAGCATCTCAGCATTGTAACACAGCTATGTATTTACTCTCACAAGGCTTGTGTGGATGTGAGCTAAAGCTTGAATGGTGAGTTCTTTTCACTCGGGCTTCTGGACTCAGCTTGCAAGTTCTTTCTTTCCTGCAGGTGTCCCCGTATCCACCAAGTGAGTTAGAAACCCCTGTTGTGAACTCTACACAATGCTACTTGGGGATCACCAATTTGCAAGGCTGCCACCTAGACAGACAGGGAATGACAGTAACAGCTTCCTCAGAAAGTCATACTGAGAATTCAAGGAAGAATGCATGTCAAGTGACAAAACATAGGTACACATATTTGGTGCTGGGA